TGTACATTTATCATCTTTGTCCCACACCTGCTTTTCAAGCGAGGCTTTGAAAATACAAAAACCGATTGTGGGTTGGAGAACAGTATTGTATCAATGTTACATTCCCTGATTATGATCATTGTACTGTGGTCATGGAAGAGAAAGACCATGTTCCTAGGAAATCTACACTGGAAAAGAGTAAAGGGTGGGGACCAGGCACGGTGGCTCACACCTGTAATCCCAGCACTTTGGGAGGCTGAGGTGGGCGGATCGCTTGAGTTCAGGAATTTGAGACCAGCCTGGGCAACATGTGAAACCCCGTCTTTACTAAAAACACAAAAATTAGCTGGGCATGGTGATGAGTGCCTGTGGTCCCTGCTACTCGGGAGGCTGAGATGGGAGAATCACTTGAGCCTGGGAGGTAGAGGTTGCAGTGAGGCGGAGGTTGCAGTGAGGCAAGACTGCATCACTGCACTCCAGCCTGGGTGATGAGCCAGACCCTGTCTCAAACAAACAGAAAGAAATAAAATACCAAGATGCCACTGCCTTTTATTACCATCATTCTGGAAAGGATCAGCAATACTCAGGACATAATTTTAAAACGATTATTTTTTGAGATGGAATCTTGCTCTGTCACCCAGGCTGGGGTGCAGTGGCAAAATCTCGGCTCACTGCAACCTGCACCTCCTGGGCTCAGGTGATTCTCCCATCTCAGCCTCCTGAGTAGCTGGGACTACAGGCATGCGCCACCATATCGGGCTAAATTTTGTATTTTTAGTAGAGGTGGGCTTTCACCATATTGGCCAGGCTGGTCTTGAACTCCTGACCTCAGGTGATTCACCCGCCTCAGCCTCCCAAAGTGCTGGGATTACAGGCATGAGCCACTATGCCCGGCCAGGACATAATCTTTGATTGCAAGGTTGCAGCTACCCAGTGAGACCCTGGAAACCCTGAGGAATGCCATGTCTTCCGTGTGTCCTGCCTCATTCACTCCCTTCTTTTTTCCCCTGAAATCTTGAGATTTATAGTGTAAAAGGTCCAGGATAGCAGTGAAGCCCACCACAGGTGTGGTCTGCAAAGTCCCTGAAAGAGAAGGGCCCAGAAGATGTTGCTTGCCTCTCTGCAGTGGAGCGACCCCTAGGAATCTAGAGAGTGGTCAGTCTAAAATATTTAAAATTCTTTAATAATGCCCAGGAGGGGGCAGTCAGCTTAGCAAGGATTTGGGATCTATCAGCAACTACAATTCTATTGTACTTGCTTATGTTACATTTTCAAAAGCAGAAAGCAAAAATTAAAAATAATAACAGCAGCAGCTAATATTTACCAAGTGCTGACTATACTGTAGGCACTTGGCTAACTCCTTAACATGGACATCTCATTGATTCCCCCATGAAAGCGCCATGAGGTAGGTACTGCTAATGTTCCCATTTAACAGACGAGGGAACTAAGGCCCAGCTAGTCAATGGTGGAATTGGATATAAGCACAGGAGGCCAGGCTCCAGAGCCAGGCTCTTGCCCACAATATTATGTTGCTATAGGCTCTGGTTACCACTTTATGTGAATATGGACAAAGGATATGGAGGTAGATGAAAGCAGTATGATTCGGTGGGGTGGCAGGACTGCAGTAACGTTTACTTTTATTTTGATGTTCAGTGTTATTTATGCATTAAATAATTTTTAAAAATCAAAACTATTGGTTGATCGTTTTTGACCCAGGAGATGCAGTTTGAGATATGTGTGCCTAACATAGATTCTTTATCACTAAATAAGTCATAGCTTCTCTGTGACTTGGTTTATGTATTTGAAATATGACATAGTATTTGCCAACATCTTCCCACTAAAATTCTTGCTTGAAGGTTGAAATTCTGTGTATGGAATGGGTAGGATATGGAGCAGGTGGAGAGTAGGGGGTGGGAAAGGGTGGGGAGGCCTGTGGTGTGGTGACTACAGAAATACTCTATAGGAACATTACTCACTGGTGGAATCAAACATTATGCATGAGGCCAGGCTGGGCTTTCTATTTATAAGATATTGTTCCACACTGGAAAGAAACATCAGATCCGAATTAGGGTTTTTATTTTTTCCCCCTTTCCTTCCTTCTTTTTTTTCGCTAAATCCCTCTCTTCTTCCCTTCCTTTCTTCCTCCTTTCTTTTCCTGGGCCACTGGAAGCAATGTTGCGTCATAGTTATACATTTTATCCAATAGAAAAGACTAGCAGAGACTTAGACCATAGTGAGTCAAGAGGCCTAAAGACCTTAGCATATCTTCCTTTGAATCCAGGGACACGGCCCTCTGATATAATTTAACCTCCTTACCACATGTATGGAAGAGGTCCTCTTCCATTTGCTGCATATATATATTTGCTGTATACACACACACACACACACACACACACACACACAATTATTCATTGGAAATGTATCTACAAAAGGTAAATTGTTTGAGGTAAATAAAGGGACATGCTACTATGGCTAGAAACTATGTTGGTTAGTTGGTATTTTCTTCCTGGTCACCTTTCAGGCAATCTGGATAGAAAGCACAGCTTTCATTTCTGTGTAACATCCATCTGTGTTCAAAGATGCTTTTGAGAGGGCCAAGGGAACAATGATTTAATGCTGTCAAGTGCTTTGAGATCTCAGACAAAGAAGCTCTGTAAATACTGAGCATTAGCAACCCCAGTATCATTCCCCTCAGTATTGTCAAGGCTTTGGAAAAATTAACCAAGAAATGGGCCCTGGCATTTGGAGAGCAGCAATCGCTTCTGGAAGCTTTAAAGACCCTCTACACTGGGAAATGTAGGGCTTAGTGAAAACACTTGCCCAAGAACTACTTTTCTTCGTTTGCAAATTAAAACCACCAAAGACTAAAACCTGTTACAATGTGGAAAAGAAATAATTAGATTAAAGCTTTTCAACCAAGCTCCAGTGGAGACAGGGCAAGGGATTGTGGGTGTGCATGTACTTAAGAGAGAGAGACATACAGAAAGACACAGACTGGGCTTCGGAAAAAAAAAACAAAAAAACCAAAAAAAAACAGAAAAAAGGCTTTTGTCCATGTTTATATTTGCCACAAAAACAAATCTTTTTTTGTTTTGTTAGGTAAAAAACTCATTCATTCTGTCTGGTAAGGTTGTAGGGCAACAAGCACTCACATACATTATTGGTGGCCACATAAACTGGCCAAGTCTCCATGAAGGACCACTTCGCAATGTCCAATAATACTATGAATGCATTTACCATTGTCCTAGCTATTCTGCATCTAGGAATTTATCCTGTACCTCTATTTGCATATGTACAAAATGGTTCATGTTTGAGGATATTCGTTGTAGCTTTTTTTGTATTTGCAAAGCCTGAAAACAAATTAAAAATGTATTAGTAGGGGATTAAATAACGTCTGGTGTATCGTTAAAATGGAATATCATACAGTTGTTAAAAAGAACAAGGAAATTCTGTACAAAATTGCTATGGAATTATCTCTAAAGATGTGGTGTGAATTGAAAAAAATCAAGATGCAGAACAGTGTATACAAACAGATATATTTGAATATGTATGTTTGAATTCATCATGCTAATATATTCATAGGAAGGATTTTCAGAAGGCTGCATAAGAAATTGGTAACTGTGGTTAAGGCATAGGGCTTACACCTCTAACTTTATATCCTTTTGTACCTTTTGAATATTGTATCACGTACCTATGTGTCCTATTCAGAAACCAAATTAATGCTAATGTGTATGAAACCACTGATTAAACAAAGTGAAAATATGAGCTTTGTAACACTTTCTAGGGATGGGGGTCGATGAGGTGTGTCTTCAGAGCTCCCATGTTCTTCCTTCCTTAGCTGGGACAGGCTTCTCAGCACCCTGCTGCCTCAGGGAGCCCCAAGGGACGCCAGGAATGCTTGGCCTGTGTTAGCTCATGACTGTTTCCCTGCCTCTGACTTCTCTAGTTCCCCACAGTTCAACCCAGGGTGGGTAGCCTGGTGTCTGTTTGAGCTCAGCCTCCCCAAACCAGGAAGCCCGCAAGCTATACCATTCACTGTCAAATATCTGTCTGAGCATACAGGGAATTCCCCTCTTGGGACTGACAGGGAAAACGATCCCTAGGGATTAGGGCCTCCACGGGGCTGTGTCAGATATATTTCATAGTTCCTGCAACTCTGACCAGGGATCGTTTTGAAATTTGGGTTTTGTTGTTGTTGTTGTTGTTGTTGTTGTTGTTGCAAGGAACAAAGACTTACCAAACTAAAGGATGATTCTTGCAAGAATGCACATGGAGCAATACAAGTAAAAGCGTTCTCATGGAACTTAATAAGAATAATAAAACAACAACCTCAAAAATACCATTGATGAAGTACTTAGCTGCCCAGCATGGTGCTAAGTGCTCTGTGTGCATTATCTCCTTTCAACCCCATCATAAACCCATGAGGCTGTCGCTGTTATTACCCCCATTTTATAGGACATTTAGGCTTGTAGAGGTCACTGTCACCATAGAGTAGGTGGGCCCCACAGAAACAGGGTGGGGAAAATCTGCTGCTCTCTTGCTGCCCCTGGGCAGAACCGTTTCTCTGTCTTAAGGTTACTGACTTTCCCTGGATGTTCGCCTCTCAGTTCTGATAGTAACTCACTCACTCACCACCATTGAGTTCAGTCATAGACTTTGCTTCCTTATAACAGCAGTTTCTACAGAAGGATTCATGACCTTCTCCACCTCAAATCTCTGTGCTTCAGCTGCTGCCTAACTGCCTCCTCCTGTTCAGATTTCCCCAAGAGAGGACTTGAGAGGTCATCCTGTTGGAGGCCAGCCACTTCACTAGTCACCTCCGGACCTTTGGCTTGGGCATCCTACCTTGGGTTCCCATTTTGATTCATTCCTGTGTGGATGGAGGGTAACAGTCCTCATGGGCTTCATCTTTTCCTTCACTCATCAGATATCCTTGGAGAATCGACTTTAAGCCAGACATTGGGTTGTGGGTGGTACACAGTGTTCAGCAGAACAAAGGACTTGCTCTCAGTGGCTCTTACCTTCTGGCTCCTTCACCTGCAGGTGTGGGTGTGGCAGACATTTTGGCCTGTCCAGTTCAAAGACAATGACCCATGACTGACCACAGCACTCTTGCCTCAGTCTCTAAGTCACTGCCTCCTGGGGTCCCCTCATTCATGCCTTTTCTTGGTTATCCATCTGCCTCCAGAAATGGGGGCTGTGCCTTGCCCCAGTGTACCATGGAGTCCAAGGTGACCAAACAGGTGGCTCTAACAGCGGGGTGGAGAATGATGGGGAGGAGTCTGGGGGACAATGCTCAGAGGCCCTGTGAATCTGCTGCCATGGGCAGTGGAATCCCAGCCACAAACAGTGAGGTTACTAACAAGTCTCCCATAACTGGTGACTCAATTCCAAAGCTGGGCTCCTCTCTTTTCTTTTATTTCTTCCCTTCTTTCAATACCAAATAGTTTGAAAAAGTTCCATGCTTTGTTAAATGCCCTTTCCTAGGCTCAAATTAACCTTTTCCAAGCTTGTCTTTCACATTCTTCAAACTCCTATTAATCCCTCAAAACCCAGCTCCAGGCATTGCCCTCCTCAGTGATTTCTTCCCTAAATTTGAGATAATCATGCCTTCATACGGACTACTTTTGTACTTGGCATACATTTCTGTTGTTACCCTTATCATACTGAGTTGCAAATATTTGTTTAGATGTGTGTTTCCTCTCCTGGAGTATAAGCTTATACAGAGCAGGGAACATGTCTTAGTTATTTATTTATTTTTTAATTTAAATAAACTATTTTGGGATAGTTTTAGAGTTACAGAAAGTTGTAAAAATAGTACAGACAGTTCCTTTATTTATGACTTTATT